TTCTCCCGCACAATGTGCCTCCAAATTCACACGTTATTTTTTTTTTCCTGCACCCTACTAGAAAGCCAACAAACTTGGAGGTAAGATATTTAACTCAAGTTACCGAAAGTCTTATCTTTACAACTTTGAGATCGACATATTTTGCGCGATGCAAGAAACAAGTCGCATGTTTTTAATGAGCTACGAGTCCAAAAACGTTTTCGTATTTAGCTCCTTTTATTGCAATATGATTTGTTTTACTGCAGTGCTCTAAATGATAACAGCAGTAGCCACATACCGTCATTGACTGCCTATTTTTTGCCAGTGTTTTCGTAGATTGAACTCATACCGCAATCGGCTCGGTTGTTATCTCACGAGAACGTTTCGAGCGTGAACTTTGCTTACCTGGCTGGCTTTCAAGCAATATAATTCGTGGACTGACCCTTTCTGAAAACGCTCGACATCTTTGTATGTGAGATAAATGTATAAGGCGCGATTCTTGCCAAAACTTTCTTCGTAAAACACCGCATTCTGTCACGAAGAGCGAGCAATGTCGCGTTTCTCGTCCCCAGTTTCTATGGTCTACGCATGGAACGCCTGGGACAATGACCCCCCTTTTGGCGACCAAAACGCTTGCATTTTAAGACTCGGGCTTTCCTACGGAAGCCCGAGTAATTAAGAACATGCCTCAGTGAGTCTTGAAAACGTTAAATTATACGTTTAAACGGAACATTGTTTATTATTAAACAAGGGCAATTTTCGCCGCTTACTCAAATGCATCACGGAATTCCAATGCCTCACTTACCTGCATATTCGGCAAACAGCTGTAATTGTTGTCTAGATATTTCACCTGTTTACATGGTTCATCTAATTCTGAGTTACCCAGCAGTCCCCCTAGTCTCGCGACATTTTGTTGCAACAAACGCAGTTGCACAAAGTAGAATCGTGTTCCATAGCCAACGCTTGCCTAAGGATTTAACACTAAGCAGTGTTTCCTGTAACGTGTGTCGTTACAGCATAGGCGAGCCAAGTTGCACGAAACATTACCTACTGTAAGAGCAGTGTCACACAAAATTCAAGCCGCACTTTTTTCCGTTTTCTCGCTTACCTAAATTGATATATTCCAGGCATCTGTATTTGACTTCCAGAGATTTGTATGTTCCAGGACATGGATCGCCACCAAACTCTTTCCTACTCGCATGCAGCTCACAACTGGTTTTGCCGTTACACTTGTCCTGCAGGTGTTTTAGAGAATTGCTGGAACGACAGTTTGTGCTTCTTATAGGTTTATTAGTATTAGAGCATGTTTGCCGGTTCAGCCTGCCATAGGTCGCGTTCAGCACGTCGATTAATTTTCTGTTTGGGCAGCTTATTTTTCCGTTGTGATGCTCACAAATTATAACGGACCGTGGCTTCACTGCAGAAAATAAGAGAAGCAAGAGAAAGGGAAAAGGAAGACATTCCAGTGTCATTATCTTGGAAATATCACATCCCTTATTCTGGTCTCGTTTTTCATCAAATATTGGTGTCATTTCAAAACAAAGGCATTATCTTTCTATTAGTCAACTTAAGCAACTTTACCATAACCTAGTCTACCCGAATCTATCATGTTCCATAATAGCTTGGGGAAGTGCTTACAAAATGCACCAAAAATAGTTGCAATCCAAACAAAATGAGGTCCTAAGATTAACGCTTTTTTTCTAGCTACGTCTGGAGGTGCTCCCATTTCACACTACACAAGGTATGCATTGAAGCCAAATTTCT